AAAAAAAAAAAAAAAAAAATATAAAAAAGAAGAAGATTAATCGCGAGAAAAAAAAGAGAGAAACGGAGCACCGGAGAGAACAGAACACACATTATACACACGTCTTACGTACTATACTTTGTGTTTTTCGTGTAGCGCTCGTACGCTAGCCGTTGGATCCCCCTAGTTAGACCCTAGGGAATTTTAGACTCCGGAGAAACGACAGTGATCTTTCGCTTTATTGCGCGGAATCCAACGGCCGAGTAATATCGGCGTAATATCGATCGATCCCAAATGCTTTTTCTGGTCCTCACCATCGCCCACATTCACACACGGTGACGTTTTTTTTTTCTTTTTTTTTTTTCGCGAGTTTTCTCCAGAATGTTGTGTGCCGCGTGCAACGATCGCGGTTATCGCGCACGCACTAACATAGAGCAATAAAACCCTAAGCAATACTAATGAATTAACGAGTTAATTAACGAGAAATCGAGTGAAATGAAATTAGCACGTCGGTTCGGGTAGAGACATTCTAACGAAGAAAAAAAGAGAAAAAAAAAAGAGAAAAAAGAAAGAAAGAAAATAAGAACAAAAAAAAAAAAAAATAAGAAAAGAGAGAAGAAACGTAAAGGATTGACTAAATGCACCGTTTGACGCGTGTTTGTTGATCCGGTCGGTCGAAAAAGAAACAGATGAAACGGTCCATGCGCGAGGAGGAATTAACAAAAATAGAGAAGATAAAATGAAACGAAGAAACACTAGGACGAGAGGGGAGCGATCCGTACGGATCGTCGATCAAGCTCCTTTCCGGTTCCTCCACTTTGCTTTCGACCGGGAAATCCTTGATACCAATCGTCCTCTCGGTTTTTAGCTACTGACTTCATTGTTCTTGATTACGTGTAATATTTATTTTTTGCGAATTGTTATCAGTATTATTATTATTATTATTATTATTATTATTAATGCTTGCAGCTTTATCGTATTATATTTATTATTGTCATCGGTATTTATTATATTTATTATTATTATTATTATTATTATATTGACACCGTGTATCTTTATTTATCCTTACATACTGATTCACCCTATTGCGTTGCTGTTATTGTTGTTACGTATAGTCGATCACGGTCATATTATCACTGGTGATAATATTGTTACGCGTAACCGCTCTCTGTTCTGTCATTCGTCTATTCGCGATCTATAATTTTATTGTTGCCGGCACGACGATCGATGATCGTTGAAAACGACGATTTCGCGCGAAAGGGAATAAACGTTTCGAAAAGAGGCAAAAAAAAAAAAAAAAACAAGCACACGAGACGATTTTTCGAGATCATTATTTATCTCTCTACTTTCCCG